AAAGTGTTTAAAAGGTAAAATGTGTAATTAATTGCCTTATAACATAGAAAGCAATCTATCAGATCTTATTTATACCAAGTTTATTTATAGTGATCATGATTGAATAATATATTTTGCTATCTTTTTTGAGTTTTCAAAGGATTTATCAGCTGATAGGAAAAATGTATTCTGTTTCCTAGAATAACTAGAGCAGTTTACAAGGGGTGGTATTAATTCTGAGGGCCCTGTACAGACAGCTCAGCAAATGGGTAATACTGATTCAAGCGCACCTTCTACAGAGGGACAGATTTGGTCTTCAAAGGGAAGGTTACTTTACCTTCCTTCCAGGACCTTGATGATAAAGCATGGAGCCTGGTGAGAGTAAATGCTCTACGGTGAGGAAGAGCAAAGATGTCATAAACATTCTTAGGAGTGGAAAAAAAAAATGTTACAGCAGTAATAAATTCTGCTCCTGTTGTTCTGTAAGTCTCCATCTAGGACATGTTGCTCGACCTCTTCTAGAACCCTCAGACCACAGTGTTTTCAAGGACTGAGTTGAGAATCCACAATAAGACAAATCTATGCTTTTTTTTCTCCATGAGGAATCAAACTCTCTGACAAGGACTACCTGGTTTAAGAATCTCTCCCCACCAGAAGAGAATATCTGTAGCCCAAGGTTGAACTATGGAGTCCTTGGTGCTCTCTGAGCTTGGTTGTTTGGTTGCAGATGTCTTATTACCTGACTAGGCAAGATCATAGTGCCTGATGTTACCTAGTTGTGTAATGAAATGTCTGCAAGCAAACAACCAAGCCCAGAGAGCACCAAGGACTCCACAGTGTCTTCCCACTCCCCACAAATTTTAGCCACTATTTCAGAACATAACTTTACTAAGACTCTGCAATGTCCTTTTGAGAAGGTCAATAAAATAATATGTCTGAAGGAATTGTTCCTAGCTGAGTTGACTCTTCTAGGAGCAGAAACTTTGAAAGAGTTGTGGCAGTGATAGCAGTTAAGTAGCTTTGTGTAATCTTCTTCAATCCTTCCCAAGACCTTGTATTCTAATATTTATACTTGCTGTTGTTTCTAATTGTCTTGTATAAAAATTAGATAAATCATTTTCCTTCATCCTTCTGACCCTAGTTGCATTTGATTTAAATTTGGGGTTAAATTTGTCTAGAGCAGTGCTTCAGATGATAATAGTGTACTAATGCAGTTTTTGCCTGCCGGTGGCTGAGTACTTTTTGTGTATGTTGAATGCACAGAGATGCATAGCATTACTGTGGAAAGAAATAAACAAATGGATGTTTATAGAAAAAAAGCCTACCCCTTTTTGAAACGTTCAGATTTCATTCTCCAAGAAAAGGCATACAGGAAAGTAAATTTTATCCAAATCTGGAGAAGTTCAAATCAAATCAAATCAAATTTTATTAATTGATCAAAGATCAGCATAAGTGCCCCCCCCAACCCTGATGTTCTTTGATTTCTGGTCTTATATAAAGTTATCTTCAGCAAGTTAAAAATTCCTCATTAGTTTTGAACTTGAGATGTCTGACAAAACAACCAAAGAGAAGCCAACAAGATAACCTTCATTTTTAAATAACAAGCCTGTGTATGATCCTTTGCATAAATGACTCTGCAGGGTAGCTCTAAGTCATTATGAAAGAAAGCAAAAAAGGACAATCCACATTAATATGGCTTTAATCCTTAATTGGGGTTCAAGAGGCATGGGCTGTTATAAAACAATGGGTATTTGATACTGGATTTCCAAAAAAATCAAAGTCAGGCTCTCACTTGTCCCTGGTAGAGGGTAATCTGGAGATACTGTATTCTGGCCAACTCTTTGTTTAATATGTTCCATACAAACCATGAATAAGATTTCTCTTTGGCCCACTCCAATGTTTTACCCTCAGTGATCTTGGAAGAAAAATACAGTAACATCTCTAATTCCAAACACGTTTGCCCACCTAAAGCTGAAGAAATTGTCTGCAGGAGTTATGCTATCGCTCATGCCCATTCTATATGGATTTTTGAGATCTACATATGATACGTTTTTCTTTTTTGTTAAAATTCAGGGTGTTTTTTTTTTTGGTTAAAATTCAGTGCATATCACCAGATAAGTATGTAGGTTGATTGATCGATTGATTACGTGCCATCAAGTCAGTGTCAACTTTTACTGACCACATAGATGGTCCATGACAACCTGTCCCTAACTTGGTCCTTCAGGTCTTCCAGTGGTGCATCCATTGCCACTGTAACCAAGTTCATCCACACTGCTGCTGTTTGTCCTCTTCTCTTTCCTGCCACCTTTCCCAGCATTAAAGTCTTCTCCAGGGAGTTAGGTCTTCACATAATGTGTCCAGAGTAGGATAATCTGAGCCTGGTTGTTTGGGTCTTCTCAAGTGAGAACTCTGGGTTGATTTGTTTGTTTTCTGAGGATACAGAAAATGTTACCAAATGTCCTTTTGCTATCTTGAGATGTCAATAGTTTACAGTATTTTAGAAGTTAACTAACTTGAGTTTGACTTAGAATATGTTATGCGCTTTACTTGTATGCTGGTCTCTGACTGTTATAAATTCTAAAGTTGGGGGTGGGGGGCGAGGAACCAAACATAGAAAATGCAGGATATATATAAAGAAGTTCAAGCCATACTTTTCCAACCTTTCTCTTCTTTATTCCTAAACAGTCTTTGGCCAATCCATACAGTATGACAATCTGCTTGCATGATTTTGCTCCTGCAGCAAGATTAAGCTTTTTCCTCCGTATTAGAAATCACACTTTTTTATTATTTGCTAGGATTTCAACAGTGCTATATCTAATTAGAATATAACTTTCAAGTAATATTAAGTAACAATACAATGAAGACCTTAATACTAAGTAATCAGCTTAAGAGAGAAGTTTTTATTATATTTTGATGCAATCTGCAACATTATTTAAAATGTTATATTCCGTTCCAAATGAAAGAGCTAAATAATCTTATGCTCATTAACACTGTCATTTTAAATAATAATTAATACTGATTTAATATTTCTTCTTTATCTTCAGTGGCCTAAGTTATCTAAACATTAGAGTGTTAATAATCTTTAGACAATACTGTACAAATACCACTATATCAAAATAATATAATGTATTATATACGGTATGTTTTACAATAATATAATTAAAGAAAAGAAAAAATATAACTTGGAAAACCTAGGATCAAATATTTCAAATACAGCTTGGTCCAACTGAATGAAAAATACAAATGTTCCTTGTCTTATTTTACTGTTGTTGTTTTACTGTTCTTGAGCCCGTGATCTGCTGCTTTCATGGACCAAACTGACCTCTGTCTAATTTTCTTGCCTTTAATATTTAATAATAAAACCACATGTTTTCTTTGAAAGGAGAAAAAGATACATAAAAGAGAGATCCTTCTAATAATTTTGCTTTGAGCATCCAATTCTACCTCCAATTTATCAGTACAAAATTGTATTAGTAAACAAGACAGGGCTAGCGTGTTCATGAGAACCAGAAGAATGTTTCAGACAAAGGCAGTGCATGTTCAGCTAGCAAACTTCCATAGAGTGTGATAGCGAAAATTTACAAGTCAGAGGGTGTGCCAGATTAGACAGAGAGGGAGAAGAGCAGTGAACCAAAAGCAGACTGATGATACCCGGAGAAAGGAGAGAGAATGCAGCATGTGGGGAAAGGGCTGGGAGCCGAAAGCACTAGCAAAAGAGTGAATTAGCAAAACGGTGGAGCAGGTTCCTAACAGCATCGCAAATCCAAAGGGCAGGAAGAGAGGCATGATCTCAGGTCATGAGAGAGCTTGGATCAGGCAGGAGTAAGGATGCAGAAGTGTAAGTACAAACAGGGAGGTCTTCCTAACAACAGTTTTACCACACCACAACAATGCCCCATATACAACAATTTATTTGTGCCGGTGAATCATCTAGCATGCACCCTAATATTTGTGTGTGCTTCTCCTATGTCTTTTCATGATGCTTTCCCCCTCAGGAACCTTCTTCTTTGTACCATCATTCAAACATCCAGACATGTCCCACTGCTTCTTCTTCCTAGAGGAGAGGGGTTCTTTGCGTGAACTTTCAAGGGACTCTTCTCCACCTTTCTGAATGTATCCATATGTTGGCCTATCTCTACCACATCGCTTTTGCCTTCAATAGGCTTACTTAGCTCAAGCGCTCATTCAAGTATTCTCTCTCCTCACCCCACCTCACATTCTGACACCGTTTTTGAACCGCTGACGGGGTTCCCAAGCCTTCCGTTTACTTTCCAGGGGCTCAGTTGCTCTTTTGATCAGAGTTCTTTCCCTCGCCACTCCTATTTGGTCAGCTTCCAAGAGCTTCTGTTTACAATCCATGCAACATTCAGACACCAGCTGTCAAAGGATTGTCATTCTGTTGACATTAGACAAATCAATAAATTGTTCATCACACAGGGGAGGGGGTGACAAATGACAAGTTCTTTTCCTGTCTTCTGGGGGGGGGGACAAAGTGTTTTTTATTTGCCACTCCCGGGGTCCCCGTGTGCCAAATGAAATGGGAAAGGGACCTGTGAACAGACAGCAATGGCAATGATTGGTCAGCTTGGAAGTAGCAACAATTACTGGTCAATGTAGACATCTAACGTCTTGGCATTTGTGTAGGGTTTTTTAAAACAAATGCTCTCTTTCTCTCTTTTTCTAAAAAGCCTAATTTCCCTTCATTTTATTTCTTTTGCCTGAACTTGACTTCAAGCCTAATGCTTAATAGCTGTTTACAGAATCCTATCCAGTCTCTCCAAGTCTTGAGGATGCTCACTACCAGTTTATAATACATTGGCTGGAAATGAAGTGTAATTATACCTCTGTACCAGTGGGAGTTTTGTTTGGAAAAAAATGGATTTATATGCACAGAATGGAATTAATCAAAGGAATCCATTTAGTTATCTTAGAGGAATCCAGTGCTTGCTTTTATTTTTAAGCCAAGCCTTTTTTTTCTCTTAATTAAAGCAATTGATTGTTTAAATCTCATCTCGATTTCCTATTATCTCCAGGCTGGCATAGATGGAGAAAGCATTGGGAACTGTCCATTCTCACAGCGTCTTTTCATGATACTTTGGCTCAAAGGAGTTGTATTCAATGTAACCACAGTTGACCTGAAAAGGTAAATGTTATCAATTAAAGTAATTTTATACGTTTTTGGCCTTCTTGGGAAGGACCTTTGTGTAATGACCTGAAATTAATTTATTCCCATTTTTATTAGGAATCTTGATTTTCTCATGATGATAAGAAAATCTTACTTTTTTTTAATTACATGGGGCTTATTAAGATATGCCACCCAGAAAAAGACAAAGAAGTGAATTATTGCAAAAGGGGGATAATATGACCAGTAACAGCATACGTGATTAAAGTTTTCTTAATGTATGTTTCTTGGTTTCCCCAGAAAGCCAGCTGATTTACATAATTTAGCTCCTGGAACCCACCCACCATTCCTGACTTTTAACGGAGAAGTCAAGACAGATGTCAACAAGATTGAGGAATTTTTGGAGGAAACCCTTTCACCTCCAAAGTAAGATACATTAACTTTGTTTTTAGAATATTTTATTAGAATTATGATAAGATTGCCAGGCGCCATATTGCAGTAAATGATGAATGTACTAGTACCTTTGTTAATAATTAGTTTGCCTTTCTCATAGCTTGTCAATCAGGTTACAATTCTAAGCCTCCATCTCCTTTTCCCCCTTTCTGCATCCTATGAACTCATATTTATCTGAGTTTGTATTGATGGCCAGAAACCCTAGCCATGAGGTCTCCTATTTTCAAAAATCTTCATCTGCAGTATCTTGTTTCAAATTAAACCATAGTGACTGGGCCTCCAACTGAGATATAAACTCAGATTCTATCATCTAAATAGACTACATAGTTAGTTCACTTCTCCAGTAGCTGAATGTCATCATTCAAGCATATTAGACCCAGCATATGTAAATATGAGTATTTATGTAATGCTGCATTGTGGGATACTTCTTCCCCAAGTATATAACATGACATCACCCACCAGCACTTTATTGTATGGTCTGTAGAGTAGATGCATTTGATATCAAGGGTTGCAAGTTGCAAAGTTTTATTCAATAGTCTTTGGTGGTAGCTGAAGGCAGATGCTGAAAAGTGATTAATCTTTTGAAGATTCTGATCCTCAGCCCACAGGCAACTTTTTAAGAACTACAATGCACTTTTCAGCATGCTATTTCTATATAGAGCTTTAATCACACATCTCTTTAAGAGCACACATACTGGAAGCCCCACTTTGCTCTCTGTATTGTTACTCTGAAAAGGACTATTATAGCTTGGACTGATTTTCTCCAGAGGGAATTAAGCAACGGGCTACATTTACAATGAAATGAAGCTGTTTACTGCCAAACTCCTCCATATCACTTGAAGTTATATGGCTTGTTCTGATGTAAAATTACAGTTCTTCGGTTCCTTTGACTTTAAGCCTTGGTGCAATTAACCTTGTCATAAAACCATGGTGGTGTGACTTAAAACTGGTTGGCTTCCTGTGGCACCAATCATTTTCAGCGGGGTCCTGTAAGGCTGACATGCTGAGATAAGAAGCAGTTTTAAAACAATAATTGATCTGCAGAAATGTCACTTCATGTTCAAACAGCACTTGCCAGGAACAAAACGTGTCTTTTAATAGTGTATCTTTTTAGTGTGCATGTATTTGTGAAGTCTTGTTTTTACTTTCTCGGGAACATTATTTTAAAAACCAACTTTCTCTTTTTGCAGATATCCTAAGCTTGCAGCCAAGCATCGTGAATCTAATACTGCAGGCATAGATATATTCTCCAAATTCTCTGCATTTATAAAAAACACAAAGCAGCAGGACAATAACAGTAAGTTGTGAGAGGAGAAGCCGCTGCAACTGCATCATCTGCCGTTCTCGGGGATGCTGTTTTTCTCTGATTATTAGCAGTTGGTGTTCTCTTAGCTTCTTCATGTCCAGTGTATGCATTCTGCTCCCCAATCCTCAGCCTTCTCAGTGTGGACACTACCACCTGTTTGTTCTCCCTCACTTCTTGGCAGTGTACTATGTATGTGAAAATGGTCAACTGAATGGACATTTTTAGTTGGCCCACGTAGCCATAGTATATGTTATAGATAAAAGAAAAAAAATATTTTTATTTGTCAAAATGTAGTGGGCATTTGCAAATCATCTTTTTAGTTTTGTTCATTTCTCATGCTGCTTTCTTGCAGTAATTTGGATGTAGGTTTTGATTGCTAGATTTCTAAGCTACTTTTCTTCCTAGTACCAACTGTAGGGTTGTGACAGAATAATGACCGCTCAGCCAACCAGACCTTTGGGGGAACCTTGCTTAAAACAGATTATGAACTGTTGTGGGGGGCTCTTAAACTATCCTGATAGAGGCAGAATGCTGCTGAGAATGGAGGATGTCATGCACAACTCCCTTGCCAATGGCTTCCTCTTTTGCCTGGGTTGAAGGAAGGATTTTGTCAGTTTCATGTTCTGCATTATTTGATGTTTTATTTATAATTTTTGTCTACCCCCTTTCATGAAGAAATTGTGAATGTTGGCAAATTCTCAGCACATTCTAAGCACCCCTATCCTCAGATGGTAGAAGAAGGAACGTAATTCTGTTCAAATGGGAATAATATGAATGTGGTGGTGAATCCATGTTAGAATTTCTGATAGCAAGGGGTGAAAACTGGCTGTAGACAGACACTCGCTTTGGAAGTCAGTTTGATAGAGCATAGAGGACTAAGAGACCAAGATCCCAAGGTAGACATTCAGAAGGAGAAATGGGGGTGTGGAGTAGCTGCTGATGATAAAATTCCTTTCGCTCAGTTGAGGTCTACAGGAATTTATGTAATAGTTTCCTGGATTTTCAGTCCTTTCTCCCTTTTGTTTGATTAGCTTTTCTGCCTTGAAATATACAAGTTGAAAGGTCTGGAGCAGCTTGGCTAGGACTGTAAACCCAGAAGCAAACACATATCAAAGTTCCACAACTTTTAAGCATCTTGAAAGTGAAGGAATTGATTCCAGATTTTCAAGTTGTGGCAAGCTGTGTTTAAAGAAAGTGTGCATATTTATTATTTCAAGCCAGTTCAATTACAGCCAACTTGATTCCGTCTACCCCCAACATCACCCAAATCATTTTAATAACAGGTTTTCCTAAGGCATGATCTTCACCACATACCATCATAGACTATGCTTTGACATTCTCTATATAGTCCTAGTGCTGTGGTTGACATAACTAGAATTTTTTTTTTTCATTTCTGATCCAAGAACAAAGAATTCTGAGAAGATACAAACAGGAGGCTACTTGAAATCGGTTTCTCAGAATCTTCTCTTAGAATGTCAGCTGATTTCTCCTTCTCCTATCCCACCTTTTTATATATAAAACTCAAGATGGTTAACATACCTAATACTCCTTCCTCCTCCTATTTTCCCCACAACAACAACCCTGTGAGGTGGGTTGGGCTGAGAGAGAGGGACTGACCCAAAGTCACCCAGCCAGTTTTCGTGGCTAAGGGAGGCCTAGAACTCACAGTCTCTTGGTTTCTAGGCCAGCACCTTCACCACTACACCAAACTGGCTCTCAGTATGATAGACCTAAGAACTATCCACACTACAGACTAACAGTGGTTAAATGATTTTCCTTCTATCCAGCTGGGAACCAAATAATTATTGTTTTATAAGGAGGAGAATGGATGTGTAGCAGAATTTTGAGAAAGTCCAAAAAATAAAATGGAATAAAAATATCAAGATGGTTAAGGGAAGAACATAACACCATGCACACATGCAGTGAAAATGCTTCCACTTCTCAGTAATAGGTCAGTTTTTTGTGAATGTTGAGCTACATTAAGGTCAGGTTCAGTCAGCCCCCTTGAAGGAGCAAGGCCTGGCATACCACTTGCAGGTCCGGTGAGAAATGAGAATGAAGGAGAGGGGCTGTAGGACTAACAGAATCAGCTGAAACCCATCTTGCTGCATGGCCCACATAGCTTTTACTGTTTTCACAATAAAATTCACCCTTTCATATCCTTGATTTGATTCTGCTGCTACAGTTAGCAGACCAAAGTGTGTAATCTTGGTGTAGCAGCTAAATGTAGCCTTTTAAAACAGCACTAAATAGACTGAACAGCTACAACTTATTTGTATTTATCAGGCATATTTTAAATACTGTTTATTTGCTGCTAAGGAGGAAGGTATATAGTAACAAGTTGTTTCCAGTTGACTTATTCTTCTTAATGCTGCACTTACCTTGGCTTGGAGAACTAGCCCTTTGATTTCATTGGAGGCTGTTTTTCAATTTGCTTCTGAAATTACCTTAAAGGGTGCCCAGTGTGGGTGGCCGCATTCATTAAGGTATTTCACTGGGCTATTTTCACTGCAAACTGAACTGGAAGACCACCTGCATGATTTCATTCAGTGGAATTTCCAGCTGTCTGACCAGAGGAATCTTCAGGTCTGGCCTGGATTCAAATCAAGGGCCTCAAAATAAAAGAACATTAAATCATTAATTAACATTGGATTAAAATTTTCCCCTCTCCTCATGTTGTTCTAACAAATCTTGTGGCCATGTCAGAAAGGGAAGAATTGTCTGCTGCTATATAGAGCAAAGTGTGGATGCTGGCCAAAGGGTGTGGGACACGATTCCCCATGTACTTGCGTGAGCTTTACTCCAGTTTAGGTCTGCTGACTTGGATGCATTTAAAGGATACTGTTCTACAAATATTTAGATTCTGCTTATGCTACTTCCTTAATTAAGCAGTTACTGGGATCACGCATGGGACTATGCCGTGATTAGTTTGAACTATGGCTTGTTCAGTTAGCCACAAGATCCAGATTCACACAACGTGTTAAGCTAAAGGCAACCAATTTCGTTCTGGCTTAGTGCAGTGCTTGAGCCACAGTGTATATCACAGTTATCAGCTTCCTAAACCATTTATGATAACTAGAAGTTGGGTTAGTAGGTCTAATTAGGGCTGTACTCTTCGGAGTTTCATGGAATGGGGAATTCTACCAAGTACAATTTCTCCTGTCACCACAGCCTGAGATGAAAAGAGCTGGGCCTGGAGAAATTCACTACTGGATCCTTGCCAGGGTTTAGATTTGGCAACCTTGAGGAGGAGTGTGTGCATAATGAATTAAGGTGGTCAGAACCTAAGCATTTTTATTTTCAGGAAAAGAGTTTGAGGTTTCAGTGTACGGATTTGATTTTCGGACCTTGCAAAACATTCATTTTTCCAAATTGAATCACTGAAGCACAAACATGGATGTCTCTTCTCCCTCTTCCCACCCAAATATTTTTCAGGACTTTTGTGTTTTATTCTCTGTTGAGTGTCTGAGCACAGCAGAACACAGCAACGAAAGACTTATGAAGGTGAAGTGTTCAGGGTCACATGTGCATGTCCGGTGCCAGGCCAGAGGGACAAGACACACGAAAATGGCAGCCTTCTCCCCATTGATCCTATTCAGCAAGCAACAGAGAGAGCCAGAGGGTCAAAACAAGGAGGACAATTCAAAAATTACATATTGGTTGACGGTCTTTTTTTGGCCACATTTTTCACCTTGGTGGTCAAGGCCTATAGCGCTCTCTCTCGCTCGCTCGCTCACTCTCTCTCTCTCGCTCTCTCTCTCTCTCTCTCTCTCTCTCTCTCTCTCACACACACACACACACACACACACACACAAACACATATAAACATACACAGAAAGAGGGGGTCCCATG